CCCGTTAGGTTAGGCTCAGCTTACCCCCTGGGGAGTAGAATTGGACATGTGTTCTTAGAGCCGTAGCGTATCCGGAAAGGCACCCACTGGAAGTGCCCCTGCCAGGGAGAATGGAGACAGGGCGGTCAGGTATTTAAAGAATAGGGTGGGCCTCCTAGGCTGAGCCCTGCCTCCCCTGCTCCCCAGGGTGGACCGGCTTCGCCATCACCTGCTCCCCATGTACAGTTATGACCCCGCTGAAGAGCTACACGAGGCTGAGCAGGAGCTACTCTCTGACATAGGAGACCCCAAGGTGAGCAGTCGGGACGGAGAATCGGCAGAGGTGGGTCTGCTCTGCTCTCACCCATACTCACCACTGAAACCAGAGCCTAGTTATGACCTCAGCTCTCCCCATTTGGGCTGAGTAGTGGGGTACATCCTCCAAGGTTGTGCCATGAACTCCTAGTGTCCAGAACCGTTTTGTGACATGGCATCCTCTCACAGGTGGTACATGGCTGGCAGAGTGGCTACCAGCACAAGCGGATGCCCTTGCTGGATGTCAAGACATGACCTGACTCCCTTGCCCTGATCTTCAGAACTTTGGGGCCCTGCTGCCTGCTGCTTTCCCCTCCCACTCGTGCTCATCCAGCTCCCCCTGCTGGGTCCTGGGTCTCCATTCCTCCTCCCATCCACCCTGGCAGCACCCATTTTATAAGCTCATGCATAGCAGCCAGCCCCAACACTTTACTTGCCCCTAGGCCTCAGTCCTTTGTGGGCTGAGCCTGCTGCCCACTCCCAGGCACCAATGGGAAATTTTTCCTTTTAGGGTTAAAGGGTGGCTAGGAGACGAGGCATAGCTTTGCCCTTTCTATGGGCCCCATCTTTAGCCCTCTGACTTGGCTTTGGAGTTGTTTCTATGGTGACAGGGCCTGATGTACATTCAGTATATATTTTGTAAATAAAATGTTTTGTGGCTAGCAGTGTGGTTCATTTCTTCAAGAGGGGTTTAAATTACCTCTCCTAGAGCTGATGCCAGTAGCTTGTTCTTCTCCCTATCCCCAGCCTAAGAGTTGGGCAGGGGACCTCCAAAGTTCTGCCTGCACCCCGCTCCCCCAAGATCCTTGGTTTTCACCCTTACCTGCTCCAGGCACCCACCAGAGAAAGACTCCAGTCCAGAAAAGGATATTTTTTTTTATTCAAGTAACTGCAAATAGGAAACCAGAGGGGGGGAGCCCCAGGCTGGGACAAATAATGGCTACCTCCTCCCTGGCAGAACAGGGGGAGAAGGTGGCCCCTACACTTCGACGGTCAACACAGGTCCCCCCCCTGCTCACTCTGCTGCAGCATCCTAGGGGCAGGGCCCCACCTTCCCTGGGACTGGGGTAGTCGGTAACCCAGCCTGCTTTGCTCCAGGCCCCATCCCCTAAGAATATCTTGGAGGAGGGGAATGTGGGCAGAACAGGAGGCAATGAGGATGAACATTTGGCGCTGGTAGCAGCAGCAATGACAGATGTCTAAGAATGAAACGTTGAACAAAAAACAACACAACTGTCCAGAGGTAGTTTGTGAACAGAGGAAAGATGGAACCAGAACCTTGGGGGGTGGGGAGGAGCAGAAGGGTGGGAGTGGGCAAGGCTAGCTCCTTAGTAGTGCCCCATGTGAGGAAAAGGGAAATGAGGCCTAGAGTGGAAGCAGATGGGGTAGGGGGCTCAATCCCTCCTGCCTTTCTTCCTGTGCCCCAAGGGGGCTGCTAACCTAGTGCAGGGACTAGGCAAGGTGGGGAAGGAAGAAAAGTGGGTGTGAGCTGCACCTGGTGAGAGACAGGTTGGTTGGGAGCATCTTGGGGCCAAGCAGCCCTATCCATTGGCCACACCTGCTCCTGCTGCTGCTGCCAGTACAATGGAGTGGGCATGTCAGAATGATGGGGCTTGGGCCCCTTTTAAGGCCAGGGAGCCCTCCCAGGCCCCTTAATGGATGCCAGAGGGAAGAGTGGGGGAGAAAGGACCCCCAAACCAAGAGCCCAGTCAGCAATGTCCCTACCACTGAGAGTGGGGACGCAGCAGGTGCAGGGTGCGGCTAAGTGGGAAGTCGGCTTTGGGAGGGCAAGTGTGTGCACGTGGGTGAGGGAGGGGTCGCTGGGATCCGAGACCAAAGGAAAACTGCTCCCCACCTGGGCCACCAGGGCCCTGCAGCGGCTGGTGTGCTGTGTAGTGTGGCGGTGCAGGCGCAGGTAGGTGGCGGTGATGTGTGGGCCTGGGGGAAGGGGCAGGGGGGCAGTGGGAGCGGAGCTGTCCAGTCCCAGAAGGAAACTGCTCCTCGATGAGGAAGCAGGTGGCACGGCGCGGTCACTGCTCCTCCTCTGAGGACTCCTGCGAGATGCCCTCTTCTTCCTCCTTCTCCTGTGAGGTAGGCAGGGCTGTCAGTAGGAGTGCCAAGCCTGGCCCTCCTCCTCCTCCACCCCCAGAGCTGTGGGGGAGGGGCACAGGCCAGGCTCCCCCCACACACACCTCCCTGCACTCCCTGGCTCTCCAGAAGGGGGATGAGTCAGGGCTGAGTGTGTGGGTGACTCAGCAACCTCCACAGCCCAGTTTCATTCATAAAAAAGGAAGAATTTAAAGGGAGGGAAAAAAACCACACACACGCTGCTCTCAGAGCCAGGCTCCCTTGCCCCAGGGCCCATGGTGAGGGGACTGGGTAGAGCTCAGTACCCTACTAAAGCTTGAGAAGTGAGGAAGTGACTAGCTCTTCAGTGGGAGGGGAGGAGGTGACCAGGAGAGGAAATGGGAAGGGAAGGGGTGGCTGGAGGGTGCATGAGCCCCCCCTGGTGGGTACAGGGGAACCAGGTGGCCTTGGCCCACAGGGGCAGCTGCTGGGCTGCAGAGTAGGGCTGTGCAGTGGCCACAGCCACAGGCTGACCCCAGGCCAGGGTGGGGAGGAAGTGGAAGTGTGTGTGCCGCCCGCTGGGGCTCACTCACTGGGTGGGAATGTTGGGACACCACACAGGCCCGGCCCCCGTGCCAGGCACAAACTCCAAAACAACTTGTTTCCTGTTACTCACTCTTGGGACTGAGCCAACACCCCCTACTCCCCCTAACCCTGGTGGTGGTGGCTGCTCAGCTCGAGGAATGAATGCCTCAGGGAGTGCAGGGAGCAGGTTGGGGATAGAAAAGGGTCAGGAGGAGGAAGGCTGGGGTGGGGTGGCTCTACCTGCAGGGTAGCCCCCTAGAGGCAGTCTTCTGACCACCCCACCTACTTCCACTGACTATTTGGGGGCCCGGAAATGGAAGAGCCTCCCTGTGAGGAACTGCCTCCACGTGGGATCATTCCTCAGCTCCCACCCAGCACTGACCCTATCTCAGGGCTGAGAAACTGCTGCTGCTTCCTCCCTCCTCAAGATCAGGTTGTAAGGCCAAACCTCACCAGTTCCCTGTGTAATGTCCCTTCCTCACTCCTATGATGGGGAATGGACTAAATGACCTCCAAGATCCCCCTGAGAAGTCCTGTGTCTGTTCTAGAAGCAGAGGCAGAGACATCCCCCACTAGTGCAGGGCAGCGGTCTGGTCCGGTTTATACCCGGGACCCCTCACTTCTCATGGACACACAGCCCCTTAAAAGCCCTGGACTGGGTGCCAGGAGCCTGACTGGGCCTTGGGCAAATCCCTTCCGTTCTCTGGGCCTGGGTAAAATGTGATACCCCACCATTCCCGGCCCTGCAGGTCAGGGAGAGCTGTCTTTCCATAATGGGTGCACAGGATCAGGCATCACCCATTTTTTGCACCCTCCTCCGAAGAGCCAAGGTGCCACCACCCCTTCACCTACCAGTTTTTTGGGCCTGCCCCTTGGTTTCCTCCCTGGAGTCGTGGTGGTTTTCTAGATGGTCAGAGAAAAGATCCACTAAGTGAAAAATGTTCCTGACAGTGATAACCCAATGACCAGAGCCTGGGATGGTGAAGGAACAGAGGTACAGAACTGCCTACCTCTGCTCAGGGCAGCCCAGGACTCTCACCCCAGCAGGCCCACCCAAGTCCAGCTGTCGATGACTGGCCAGCCACATTGCCTCCCCCACCCCACATATACACACGCCCCCCACTCCCTCCTCCACCCATGACTCAGAGGATATGAGTCGTGTCTTAGAAAAAATAAAATAAAAAACAAAATAACTTCTCTGAAAGCCTGATGCCACCAGAATCTGGCCTTCCTTGCTTATCCCCAGTCCCTCAGGATCCAGGGGACCCCAGGATAGAAGGTAACATCCTCAGCCCAGGGGCTGGTGGGGCTGTCCCTTCACTCCTCCCAAATCACCTTTCTCCAGACCAGGAAAGCTATGACTTCTGACTTGACTTCTCCATTGTCCTGGGCAGGACCAAGGCCCCAGAAGTGAGACCTCAGTCATCACCTTGCTTTCCCCAATTAGCAAGACCCATTGCCTACCACCCACATACCAGGGAAGAGGGAGCTGAATCAGGACAAGCCAGCCCTTTCCCATACTCCCCATGAGAGGACCCTCCCTCCTTGCATTAGGAGCACCCTCCCACTGAGCCTCACCCGGGTCTTGGCAGCGCCCTTGTTTTTGCTCCCCTTTGGTCGGCCCCGAGGTCTCTTAGGTGTTGGCACTTCACTGGGTTCCTTCTGCAAAGACAGACAGTGAAGGACACAGATGCCACCTGTCTCACCTCTTTTAGAAAACAGAGCTTTCTGCCCCACCCTGGCAGGGTTAAGTCAGCGAACCATCACCCTGACTCAGGAACCCACAGGAACGATGGCAGGGGCAAGCCGTCAGGATTCAGTTTAACCATCTTTTACAAAACCCCTCCCCTTTCATCTCTGTGACAAAATGACAAGCCAGAAGACCCTCTGGGAAATATGTCATGGGGCAAACAGGCAACTTACCCACTTCCCAGCTCTGCCACTGACTAGCCCTAAGATTTTGCGGAAGACACTTAATGCTCAAGCTCGTTTCCTCATCTATAAATGACAAGACTTACCTTGTAGGATATCATGAAAATTAAACGAAGAATATATTAGTCCTAAACCACAATCATTGCCCACCCCCTCTGATGATACATGCTGGAGACCGGAGGATGCACAAGAGGAGAAAAGAGCCTCCAGCCTCTACCTGCCAACTGACCCTCCGGGATGCCTCCCAGGGAGAAGGAACCCCAGAGATCCCTGCCATCGTTGCCACTAAAACTTTAATAAGCCTGAGACAGGATAAAAAGCTGCTGCATAATGCATAGAAACTGGGCAGTAAAGGCATATCAGCTATGGTTTCCTGAGGTGGCTGCCCATGGGCTGTTTATAAGCATGGTCCAGTAACTCGACACCCCTTCTATAACACCTTTCCTACCCCCAGCCAAGAAGAGAAGAGGGGAGACCAAGGGAACCAGACCAAGAGGATAAGTTCCCCACCCTCAAAGCACTGGGCTCAGAAAGAGAAAGCTGACTCCTTATGGCTTATGTCTCCTAGAGTCAGGACAGAGCACCCTCTCTACCTTACAGATGGGGAAGCCGGGGACCTGACATGTAAAGGGCAAGGACCGATCTCAGTTTCCTCTTCTCCAGGAAAAGGGCAGCAACTGGACTTCACCCACACCTGCCCCTCATGAGAGAAACCAAGACCTCCACCATGTCAACAGGTGGCCTGCACAGCCTGACTGGCCATGCTCTACAGGGTGTCCCAGTGTAAGGCTGGCCTTCTAATCCTGTGGGAGGTCAGCACCAGGGTTCCAAGGGTCATTGCAACCAACTCCCCAACATTTTCAACTTCCTGGACTTAAATTTCCATTTATGGAGCCAGGGGCAAAGCCTAATTCAGGGACACTGGCACTGAGGCCCATGAACAGGTGCGGGCCCACAAACTTTGCTACTGGCCCAGAATGAGGGAAGTATAGAAACTGACAATAAGTATCTAAGAACATTCACAGTAAATTCACGGAACAATATGCGTGATGAATCTCATGATTAAAAATCCCAGGCTTGTGTATTTTCATTTTCTAGAATTCACCTTTATTGTGCTTTATAAACACACTAGTCCATGATGGACTAGAAAGGGTGAGTAGTCTACCACAATGTAAGCATTGGCCTTTGTGACCAGAGGGTCACTTTGGGCTTAGACTTTGTCATGGGCTCAGCCCCCACTCCTCTTCCAAGGTCTCAGAAGAATCTGACCAGCGCGGGTGAGTGCAGGGTACGGGCCTGTGTTGGGAGGACACACAGACAAGAACAATTCTGCACCTCTCCATTCCTGTTTTCATCTGTCAAGATGCCTGGCACCTCCCTAGCCCAAAGGAGTAAACCAAGGCAAAGATTTGGACACCCACCTGACTCCCTACCAGCGTTGTCCCGGGACTCACCGGAGGCTGCTTACGAGGCCTGCCCCGCCCTCGCTTCTCAGTGCCATCCTTTTCCTGCTTGGAGGCCAAGGGCTGGCTGGACTTCGAACTTGACTCGCTCATCTTCCCTTCTCTATGGAGCAGGTGGAGAAGCAATGGCTGGGATGCTTCAAAAAAAAAAAAAAAGGCATTTTTAAACAAAACATCTTGTTTCAGCCACCTCCTACCACCTTCACCACTCCTACCCTCCAATCGTACTGCAGCAAACTGCCTGCTCCCAGGGGTATCCAGTATTCCCACCCTGCTGCTACAGGGGGAGGCTGGGCCTGTTGGTTCTAATTAGCTCCTTATCTCCTTTTCAGAAAGGCTCTTTGTTGTCCTGCCACCCTCACAGGGTCCTGGCCCAAGAAGCAAAAGCTGGCTTAGGCAACCTAGACCTGGCTGAGGGTGAGGCTGCCCTAGCAAAGGTGTGGGTGAGGTGGGGGGGGGGTCCTTACATGGCTTGGGCCACCATCTCTAGTCAGCTGCTGCCCTTTCTCTTTAAGAGAAAAACCAAGCCTAGGGAACTCACAGGGAGCAAGGGAGGAAAGGTAAGCAGAGAGAATGAGCCCTGGACATCTGGAAGCCATGAGTTTCAATCCCCTGGGCACCTTACTCACCACACTGCCAAGGCCCAAGGCTTAGGATCAAATGCTAGAAGAGCCAACCCTGATACTTACCAAACACAAGGCCAAGGTTGGTGCCCACCCCATCAACGCCCCCCTCTGTTCTCTCCCAGGGTAAAGCCTGAAGATTCAAAGATGGGGACACGATTTGGGAAAGGGGAAGATGGCTGAACTGCAATGAATGAGGTGAGGGAAGGAAAAAGAGACCAAAGTTGAAAGGTGGGTCTCCTCTTTCCCCTCACCCCAACCCTGCCTACCTGGAGTAAAATGAGATCTTTCACTTTGATTCCTTACAGGAAAGGGCATCTCCAACTAAGATGAACCCTTCTAACAGATGCTAGCTGACCCCCTGGAGCCCTGGCAGGGATATCCTAAGAGCTTCTTGGTCCTTTTCTAGCCTGTTCCCTCTTCTTAGAAGGCTAGAGTCAAATCAGCCCCACTATTTGAGTTTACCTAAAACCTACTGCAAGAACACCTGCACCCTAGAGTTGGAAGCCTCTTCTTTCCAGTATCTTAAAAAAGACAGTAAGGGTCCCCCACATTCCCATCCCTTGTCCCCTCAGTTATTATCCCCAAGTTAGAGACTTGAACTAGGAAATCTATGGCTCCACACATCTGTGGTAACCAATCCCTGACTATATTTGGCAAAGCGTGGGCCCAGTGGCTCCACTTCTGAAAGCCCCTCAATCTGTAAAATGGGGTTAACAGTAAGACATGTGCCTCAACTACCTCTCCAGACTGCTATAAGGATAAAACCAGAGTTTAAAATGCCTCAACAACAGGAAGTCTTCGCCCCAATCAAAAATGACAAAACATTTGAATATGACTTCTTTCCCCTTTTCATATTTTCAGACAATTTCCAATTTTAACACAATGAGAGGAAAAAACTATTTTTGCAAATGTGACTTTTGGAGGGCCAGAGGCCCCCATCCTTAAGCTTCAGGATGCTCCAGAAGCCGGGACTTCGGTAATTATTCTACTTTATATTTCAGACTTGAAGACCCTTTTAAACAAGCTGGTTGATGATTTATCCTGCTCCGTCATTAGTGGCTTGGCCTGCTCTGTAATTACAGGCAGTGATTAGAATCTTCTATTACACCACAGGTCCCCCTTTCAAACTAAACATCGAAATTAATCAACTAAATGAGCACTGACCTCACATGAGGTCTGCAGGAGGCACCCTCATAGAGGGAGTTCCAGTTGGATGGAGCTGGTCCTAATTCCAGAGAACCTGGGCCCCACCTGCCAGGATCCTGCCTGGTTTCCCTGAAAGTTTATTTCACCTGGTGCATCCCTCCATCTCTTGCTGTTGAGAATCCTTTAATCCATTCACCCATTCCAAACCCAGGCCTCCACAAACTGAAGGCCCTAGGCCCTCTCTGGTGAGACCAACATATGCTGTCTCTTCCACCTGTTTCTGAATATCAGAGGCCTAGCGCAGAGAAGCCAAGTTTAGGGTCCAACTCAATCCTTCAATTTACAGTAAGCTTTTTTGGGCCTCAAGCTTGTCCCCTCCATAACCATGCATGCAATGTGTGATCCATAAATGTTTAAGAGAATCTGCAGGAAGGACCCTAGGATATCATCACAAATTTTATTTTACAAAAAAAGTAACCCAGAGAGCCCTGATGAGTAGCCTAAGGTCACACAGTAAGTTGGCGGGCCGGATGGAGTAGGTTCCTGGTGACCCTCCAGCCCGCCACTTTCCTTACCCTCCTGGAGGCTGGTTAAGTCCCTGTCGTCCCCTGCTCCATACCCGGCCCCAGGGTGACTCTGCAAGTGTCGGCGCCTGGCCGTTGCAGGTCGGCGGGCGGGACGAGGGGCCAGAGCGCGCGGGGGGAGGGGCGCAGGCCACTCTTGCAGGCGCGGGAAACCGGTGCACCCCGACCGCATGCACCGCCACGCGGGTGCACCCGGCCCCACTTCCTGCCAGAGGGGGCACCCAAGCCCGCCTTGGGGCAGGAAACCTGGCACACGCGGGCGCGGGGGAAAGGAAGAAAGCCACCTCCTTCCGCGCCCTCCCCGCAAAATAAAGCCCCAGGAAAATAAATTGAAACGGGGAGTCAAAGGGACTAGTTCCAACAGAGCCCAGCAAAGCAGAGAAACCAGTTTGTGGGGGCGGAGGGCAGGCCTGGCCCTGGGGGCTGAAGAGGCGCGCGGGCCAGGGCCAGAGGTGGGGTCGGGGTGAAGCCCCAAACCCAGGCCTGCTCTTCGGCCTCATCTGCTGAGGGGACACCCAGAGAAAGGCCGAGCCGGAGTAGGGCCGAATTGTGGGGTTCCTGCCCATCCCCCTCACTTCTAGAACTTCCAAGCTGTAGGAGACGGCCGGCCCCCCACTCTCCCGCGGCGCCGCAGCCTGTTCCCCTC